AGAGCTTGCAAAACATCCTTGCTATTTTCAAACACACTTCACAACACAATTTCAAAATATTTTCCCAAATCAAACTTTCAAACATTGAAATCTTTTCAAAAAGATAAAACATCTTTGTATACATTCAAACAAGAATCATTACAAAGGTTGCCACAACGATGGCCTCTTTTCAAAACATCTTTCAAAACCACACACAAAGCACCATTTCAAACAATTGGAAAAGCAAATTAAGTGATCTAAACAAGTAACTAAGAGCCCATGGATAACCATAGATGAAAAGGGTGCTTTCAACTTCCCTTTTCATAATCTACTCCCCGAACCCAAGAAAACATGTCAAAGGTCTTTCCTGTGCTTTTTGACATTTCCTTAGGATAAAATAAAAAGTCGGTGGCGACTCTTGCTAAACCGAAACATTTGCGAACACAAACACAAAACCTCAAGTCAGTTCTCCCACCGTATCACAGGTTGCTTAGAGGACATCTCAAGCTTTCTAAAAAGTCCAAGAACACCTTCAAAGAGTCAAAATTGAGAAAGTTATGCATTGATGAAATTGACCTTTTTTGCAAAATTGCCAAAAGTCAACTATGCCTAAAATGCAATTTTTGCCAAATGGGTCCAATCTTTTGCACTTGTTTTGAGTTGGCAACATGGTCCACGAGCCCTAGCCCTTTCCACTTGTCATTATCTTGTTTTTATTATTTATTTTGATTTTGATTTGAATTAAATCAATTTTAAAACAAAACAAATCATGAAAAAACCTAAAGCATTGAAAACTCAAGATTTTGTACTTGTTTCAGGTCTCAAATCCAGTTGGCAAGTATTTGAAATCGTGCAAAGTATTGGTGTGGACAAAAAGATTGAATTTGCCTAATTTTAGAAAGATATTCAAAGTGAATCAAATCCAAATCAAAGACATTGATGGAGGAAGATTGATATCATTTTTTGAACCCTAATTCAGTCCTTGATATATATTGAACCATTGCAGACCAAAAAGGAGGCTAGAGAGAGGCGCATAAGGTCAGAACAAACTTGCAAAAAACAAAGAAAAGTGGTGAGTCGAATTCATTATTCCATGCAATTTCAAGATCCTTTGACCATTCCAATCGCTTCCTGGGAGTGTAGGCAAGTGAAACCAATCAACAACAAGCATTTCCAGGCCCTGTAACTCGCTGTAAGTCAGTCACGACATTGCTTCTTTCTTGAATTCGAATTGCATCATTCTTATACTTGTAGCATGAAATAATTGTAGATTCTTGTTCACCATCATATTTACAAGCTTTCTGTACCAATTAATTGCGTTTTCATGGCCTGTATAAGATTTCACCATTGTTAGGGTTTTATGGCTCGATTTAGGATTTCTGTGTGCAGGTAAAATTGGGCCATAAAAGGAGCACCATTGTGCTCAGTAGGTCCAGACGAAGCTATCTGTGGCTTTAGTTTTGATTTATCTTGATTATAGTTGATTTTGAGAATACGCAGGTTTGTAGTGACGGAAAAACGTCCGTATGTAAAAGTCTGGGATTTTTACCAACGGAACAAGGTTGGGGATGACCTGCGTGGCACCCTTCCATTGGATCATTCAAACTTCTGGCGCGCGTTTTTATTATTTTCCACTAACTCCCTTTATTTGCATATTATATATTATTATTATTCTATGAACAAATGAAGCAGCTAGCTCAGTTGGTTGCCAAGCATGGGAAAGTACCTTGGGGCCTGGGTTCGAATCCCAGGTCCTCCAATTTCTTCACATTATTTTTCTTTCAGGGATTACATGCGCGTACAAGGCCAAGGTCTATCATGTGACCTCATCATCCAGCCTGCCAAGTGGCCAGATGGCCAGATCCAAAGGCCATCAACGAAGGAGCACCATGAAGCCTGGTCAATGCAATGCATGGGATCTCAGAAGGTCAACATGGACCTTTGTTTCTTGGGCCCATATTTCTAGCAATCCACCTCCCAATCACCTTTCAGGCCCATATATCTTTCTATATTCTTTTTTTTTTCTTAATTAATTTAATTAATTATTTCACTAACACAAAATTAATTGTTTCTTTTATCAAAAATCATAAAAATATTTTTCGCCCAATTAGACTTAGGTTTATTTTTAATCAATAAATTAATTAATTTAATTAGATTTTAATTTTAGGTAAACTTTAATTTCTTTTTGTAAATAAATTAAAATTAATTAGAACAATTAAGGTCTTATTTCTAACTTAATTATATTTTCTTTTCAAAAAATAACCAAAAACACAAAATAGGCCATGTATTTATTTTCATTAATTAATTTAATTAGCTAATTAATTGTGTATTAATTTTAAAACCTAATTCTTTTCTTAAAAATAATTAAAAACAAACAAAAAACAATTTTTCCTTTAATTAGGTTAGAAGGGGTCAAAACCCTAGCTCTCTCCCGATCTTAATTTCCTCGCGCGCGCTTTATTATATTATTTTTCCATATTGATATAATTGCTCACAAGTTGTAATAGCTTAATTAGTTCTTTTATTTTCATTTATCGCTTTATTTTTAAAGGGTTTGTTTTTGGCTATGTAAATACCCGAAGCCTTGTAATAGTTTAGTTTACTTTCCGCACTTTAATTTCTGCAAAACATTAAACTGTTAGATGTATGAATAATTAGGGTTGCATGGCAAGAATGTATGATTAACTTTAAAACAGTTAGATAAACCTAAAATGTGCAAAGATAAATAATCTGAAATTGAATCACTCACACATGCGCACTCCTAGGGTACACTCCCACTTCGGTTGCCTTCGGTAAACGGTTATTAGGTATAGGATGCTTTAGTGGTCGTCCTTTTGTCTCAAAGATCAAAGTTGCCTCGGATATTGTTGCCTCGAATAATTGATCTAAGACATTAGGGTTATTACTAAGACGTCCTAACGTTGCTTTAGTGAACGTATGTCCCTTTCGAATTGACCCTTAAAACTCCAACGACGGTGCTACCTACTCACTAATAGTAGGATAGCGCTGTCTAAAAGAAACGAACATAGAACGATTCTTTTTTCGAATAGGTAGATTAGTTCTTAAGTACTTGTTAAATCCAAACAAACTTTTTCACACTTACACTCCTTTACAAACAAAGTTTTCAAAAACACTTCGTAACACTCTTGAAGACAGAAGCAAGGGTTAAATTGAAGTCAAAACAAAAACTTTTCAAATCACACAAACACAAAGAAGAAATTTTGAAAATGATGAGCAAGTACCTAAGAGCCCGTGGAAAACCACAGATAGAAAGGGTGCTAATACCTTCCCTTTCTATAATCTACCCCCCGTACTCAGAAATATCTCAAAAAAGGAATTTTTCTGTGCTTTTTTCCTTTCCTTGTTGGATAAAATAAAAGTCGGTGGCGACTCTTGCTTACCGCGATATTTTGCGAACACAAACGCAAAACACAAACCAGCATTCTTAAAAAACAGTCCCAGTTCTGGCCACCGTATCACAGCATGGAAGCTGTTTTGCTAATGGAACTTCAGATTCCCTCACTGAGGATTATGAATGAAGCAGGTCTAGGCGAAGACGAGTGGATTCAGACAAGATTGGATCAGTTGAACTTGATCGACGAGAAGCGATTGGCTGTTGTTTGTCATGGTCAGACGTACCAAAAACGAATGATCAAAACTTTCAACAAAAAGATCATGCCTTGATTATGTTAAGCTGGTGACTTGGTGATAAAGCACATCATTCTATCACAAGGCGATCCCAGGAGCAAATGGCTCCCACCTAAGAAGGGCCATTTGTTGTCAAGAGAGTGTTCTCTGGCGGTGCCATGATGTTGACTACCATGGATGGTGAAGACTTCCCACATCCTGTAAACGCGGACATAATTAAAAAATACTACGCATAAGAGACCCGCTAGGTTGACACACCTATACAAAATAAGGGCATCCCGACAAACCAAAAGGTTTGGGCAAAAATTAGAGACATATGCAAAATATTGTACACCCGACAAGTTGAAAATCCGAAAGAGTGACTTGAGAAAAAATGAGTATCTTGGTGGGCCGAAAACCCAAAAGAGCGGTCCAGACAAAAATTAAGGATTGAAAGCGTATGACTATGTCCCGTGGAATCACCATAGTCAACTTAACACATCATGTGCCAGAAAATAATTAATAATATATATTTTATTAATTAATAAAATAGTATAAAATAATTAATAAATTATAAATAAAATAAGTAATTAATAATATAAAGTTGAATAATAATATAACTTTATATTTATATTATAAAATAAATTTTAAAATAATTAATTAATTTTTTAAAAAAATAATATTATTTTATTAAAAATAATAATATTCACCAGATAAATCCAATAAATAATATATAGAGTATAGATATTTGTGTAAGAATGAGTGTGCAAACATGTCTTCATTAATATAAAAATCTAGGCGATGTATTATTGTATAGTATACGACCTCTAGATCTAGGATACATAGTATATGATCTCTATGTCTAGTATAAATGTGAACACTTCTCTTCAGATGCCTAAATCTGGAAATATAGTAGGTGACATAGTTATTGCTTTGCTTTTCACATCTACCTGAAATTATAGATCAATTTTATTATCCGCACAAATGTATGTTTAAATCCATTTTGGAGAAGATTAAACTAACTCTAACATCATATTTAGATATTTTTAATTTGTTTCATAATTATTCTTTCTGCATAATTAGTTTGAACTTAAAATTTAACTTATATTATCGATTTATATGGTTGAAACCATGCTTATCTTAAGATAAATCATAGATTCAAGTGAGTTTTGATCCTTACCAATTTTACTAAACTAATTGTTATTCCAGCAAAACCAAATCATACAAAATATATAAACTAGACATTTGGAGACATTTATAAAATAGTAGTGGATCTTATTTATTCTACATTTCAACAAAACATTTTTATAGATAAAAACAAGGAAAAACACATCAGCTCCCACATAGAGGAGGATAACTATAAAAAAACACACAATTTTTCAAGTTTAAACCTATCAGTGAATTTGAACATCAATAACCTTGCGTTCAACTTTAGTCTTAGGAATACTAATATAAAGCACACCATCTTTCAACTCAGCTTTAACCTTATCTTTCTCACAGTTATCAGGAAGCTTGAGACGAGTATTATAAGAACTATAACTCTTTCTTGACCAAGAATCTTCTCCACCACTTTCCTCTTTGTGATCACTTTTTATCACAAGAACATCATCTTCCACTGATACCTTAACATCTTCCTTAGAAATACCAGGCATATCAAAACGCATTCTGATTTCATGTTCTTCATCTTTGATTTCCCAAGGGACGCGTATCTCACCTCCTCCAATGTTACTTCTTCCAGGAATCGTCATTGCATCTTCGAAAACTCTGTCCATTGTGTCTAGCATTTGACGCATGCTTCTCATAGGTGACCATGGGTCCAATAAACCAAAGGGTGAAATGTCCATGGAACTTCTGCGAGGCTTTCTTTCTACAGAAGTCCCTTGATCGTCTTTGTTAACACGATGAACTTCCACGGAGTTATCTTTGTTATCACCACCACCGGCCTGAGCTCTCACATTTCTCAGTCCTAGCCTCGGCAATTGCCTCCTTGAAGGAAATGAGGCCATGTAAGGTGGTGTTTTGACAGAGTTCGCTGGTTTTTGGGACAGAATAGGTGAAGCAATTGTTGACAATGACACTGCCTGAGCCATAGTTATGGAAAATATGAAGAGATGAAGTGCGCGACAAGAATTGCTTGCTAGGATTAGAATCGATTGCAGTTGTTGATAAGAGTGGGAAGTGAGAGCTGTGAATATATAGAGTGAGTGTGAAAGGTGGAGAAAGTTTTAGAGAGTTTGAGAATTATTGTGAGAGTTCTAGACCCATCTGGTTATATTTTTGTTTTTATCTCTCACTCTCAGTTTCGGGAACCATCTTCAAAATAAATAAATAAATTGAGATGTTCATATTTTATTTATAATGTTTATAGAGATATTATATTATGAAAAAGAGATTTTATTAACCATTAAATTAGGTAAGTGGTCTGGATGAATATTTATTGTCTATGTTTATATTTGACTTTATCAAGATCATATATTTAATTTAATGGTTAGCATTGAATTCTCTTATCTTTGATTTAAAATCTCTCCTACTATATATATATATATATATATATATATATATATATATATATATATATATATATATATATATATATATATATATATATATATATATATATATATATATATATATATATATATATATATATATATATATATATATATATATATATATATATATATATATATATATATATATAACATGTTTGGATAATTTTTTTGGAAATCAATCCAGTGAGACTGTAACTGTTTAGTGTATTTGTGTTTTGTATTTGTTCTTGTTAAACATTAAATATGAGACTTTCCTGCTGCTAGAAGGATGACAAGGACAACCTTAAACGAGTGAGAGAATGTTGTTTATGATATTGAGCGATTCGGAGGCTTACACAAGTATGTGTGAGTTTCAAGCGATATGTCTTGCTTACTCCTCAGCGGGGAGCCCTGTGTATAGAGGTGCATAAACCTCGTTGATTACTACATGTAATTGTTGTGGCTTTCAATGTCACGTAACCGAGTTGCCTTAAAGACAAGTAATGTTTGTTATCACCAATGATGGCTATTATCATAACGTGTGTCGTCGCATAATGATGAGCGGTTGCGCCCTCAAAGGTCCGACCATTGCGTAACGGCTTCGTTAAGACCGAGCTCAGGATAACCTCTGGATTCAGGGTATGAGCCCGACTGCTACCTCTTTATCTTCTTCCACAGCCGATTACATGACCATCCGATCACACAACCCGGTTTAGGCCTTGTGATCTCGACCCGGGATGGTGACTGGCTGATTGTCTACGTGCTTTTCTTGGTCTTTCAAGCATGCCTTGCCTTTTATCTCTTCTAGCCCAGACAATAGATCTATGTATGAACATAATCCCCACGAGCATATGGCTTTTACCTAAAGCCTTATGGTCGTTCAACGTAAAAATGGATCTATGCTCCGGAATGGGCCCCTAAGACCGGATGATGATACCTTGACGTGCGTGTTACTCACACTATAGTTTCTCAATAGTCACCTAGTCCCTTAGGTGTAATCATTGCTAAGGCAGAATTTGAATGTTTATACACATTTCCTCTTCTTTAAGCGTTTCACTTCCCATAACTTTACTTTTATAAAAACCTTTCCTTTTCTGTTTCCGGAAGACTCTCCTACTTCCCTTTGCAAGCGCTCTCGTCCGTTTCTTCCAAAATCTCTCAATCTTCTCTTCCTTTACCTTTTTTTTTATACATTCTTATTTTTGAGGGATGATTATCATCTGAGAGTGTGATGATTTTGGAAATAAAAGACGTAACAGTAATGAGGAGTGGAGAGTCAGATGACAGGAGTGCATGCAAGGGATGAAAGCTGCTTTTAGGCGTAGATGAGTACGCACGGGTCATGAATAAAGTTTATAGTAAAATTTTTACTTCTGAAAGTGATTCTGACCCTGATTTTTCAGGTTCCATGGAGGTCCTGATGAAAACTTTCGGCTCTTTTAGTGAGGAGGTGATGGGTTATGATCAAAGATCCATGGATGAGGTGAAGATAGTGAAGCTTCAGTCTCTGTGAAAGATGTCTTCGAATGGTGTGATACGGTGGGAGAACTGACTGTTAGTTTTGCGTTTGTATTCGCAAATGTTGTGGTTAGCAAGAGTCGCCACCGACTTTTCTTTTATCCAAAAGGAAAGGTGAACAAGCACAGGAAAGATCTTTGAGATTGTTTCTTAGGTTCGGGAGGTAGATTATGAAAAAGGAAGGTATTAGCACCCTTTTCATCCATGGTTTTCCATGGGCTCTTAGTTACTTGCTAGATCACTTGCTTTTTGTTTGAAAAATGTACTTTGTGTGGTTTTTGAAAGTATTTTTGGAAAGAGGCTATTGTTTAGGAAAACTTTTGTAATGATTCTCGTTCGTGAGAATGTATACAAAGGTGTTGATCTTTTGAAAAATGTTTTTCAAGTTTGAAGGATGTTTGGAAAGTGTCGTGTTTGTTGTGAAAATAGCAAGGATGTTTATTTTGAAATTGAGCAAGTAATTAAGAGCATTCTACCTACTCAAAAGTCTTGTTCATTTTTCTTTTCCTTTGACATTGTTATCTTACCATTGATTTGGTAAGTAACTCTATCTTTGGATGTAAACGGGACGGGCGTGGATCATCGTATAACCATGATTAGCAACGTTGCAAGGTATCCTAACATCTTTTTTAGGGACTAAGATCATTTTGGAAGGCAACTTTTGATAGCGTCATCGAGGGACTATGATCTTATATTTTATTTGTTTTTACTAAGATACATCACATGCGTAATATGGTCATTTTTATAAGGCAACCAAGTAGATTTACCCTAGGGATGTTTGTGTGCAAGTGTATCATTTTCATGCTTGTTTTTGTCTTGAATTATACACACCCTAATTACTAACAATACATGAAAGCAATGAAAATGCGGAAAAGTAAAATCCTACGCTATTATAACCATTAGGGGGATAGGGTGTACAAATTTAGAAATGGAGATTGCAAATTAAATCCTAAGTTATTATTACAACCACATTGAATGGATAAGAATGTACAAGAAATGTAAAATGGAATTGTTTCGTTTAAGAAGAGAAATGAGTTTGGTTTAAGGAAATATTTTGATCTTTTTGTTTTAAGAAATAAAATAAAGCATAAAAAAGTGTAAAATGTTTTTGGTATTTTTGATTAGTGAAAATAGAAGTGATGGCGAAAATGGTAAGGAAAAAGAAAATTAGAATCAGCGCATTGCTGAACTAAAGAGATCAGGAGTTCTGACTCTGGCGTGCTGTAAAAACATAAATCATATTAGTGGAAATATGTAAAGTCAGAAGTTATGGATCCGCTGGGGATAAAGAAGATTTCAGAAGTTTTGATGTCTACTGGCAGGACTTCGTCTCCCTCTCCATGCTAGTCAGAACATCTTCAACTTAGTCATTTCACAACAAAACAGAAGATACGCATATAACTGTTTATGGCAAGTTTCATAATGTTTCAGAAGCAAGAGATATCAGAACTATAAATCAGAAGTAAGCATGAATTCGCTAAACCTAATTCTGAGTTCTAATTTCATCAAGAAATTCTGAACTGGAACTCTCTCTACTCAGGCAAGCAGATGCACGAAATCTCAAAATATGTACATCATCAGAATCAGGATGTCTACATTGTATTTTTAAACATGCAGATCTGACAATGTCTAAGTAATATGATGGGAGTCAGCAGAAGCGTACCTTGCAGCTGGAAAATACTCTGTAAGCTGGAACCTGGTTCTAACCGCTTGTGATGTTTTGAACAGCTTCCTCACGTGTTCAACAGACTTTTTTGAGGTGGACGTTGATGGAGAGCGTGTTACAGTTTGACTACAGAAGTTAGGATGGCTTTTGAATGTATATCAGAAACTGTATGGGTGGTTTTGGTCAAGAAACACTTGAGAAAAAAATGGAGTTGGGATGCAAGAATAAAAAACTAACAGATTTTGTATTTTTTTGTTTACAAATTTTTTGGACTCTTGGAATTTTTGCAGGGGTTTAAGGCTTTTCTTTCTCCAATCTTCGACTTCTTTACAGTGGCCAATGAAGTTCAATTTATAGGCAAAGGTTTAGTAGTTTGGAGGGGTCAAGTGGCACCAACATCATACGCTAGGCGCTGACTTGTTCTTAAAGTAAGTTTAAACAAGCATGGTTCAAGGCACAAAGTAGGATGGTTAGCAGGTTTAGCAGCGCCTAAGCTGGATTTGTCAGCAGGAATTAAGGAAAAGCAAAAGCAACACATGGGCCTAGCACACCTTTGCACAAAAGTTTGCTTTTCCAAGACAGTAGAGGTACACGTGGGGAAAATCCTTTGGATAAAGACTCAAAAGTGGTTGTGAGCATTTAATGATGATGAGATTTATCAAACCAGAAATCCTACAATGTGAGATTCTGCATCATTGCTTAATTCTAGATCAGAAGTTCAGCTTCAGCGTAGCTTAGAATAGACATCCAATCTTCTGATCTTTAAATATTTTTGCTCCAGCATGTTTTGAAGGAGTTCCCAGACTTTCCAGGAAGCTTGTAACACGCTTTGTAAACCTTCTTTGAACTGCTCTTGCAAACTCTGATTGAATCTTGGTGAAAATTGGCCCAGAATTTGTAACCAAACTCTGTCTTGGAACCATCCAGAATTTGCTGAGTGTCTCTGTTTCAAGAGCATGTCTTTGAGGGGTTATAATTTAAAATCCTAACATCCCTAGGTGATGTTCTGTTCTGTAATGTTTCAGATCTTGTGGGAGCCTATAACTCTTATGTCAGAAGTTCCTCTAGAGTCAACTTCCACCAGAGTGAAAATCTGATCAGAAGTTTTGAGCTTGTCATGTTTTCTTAAACACTTAGAATATCTTGACATTCCCAAAGTAATTTTGACTTCTGAATATCTTGATGAAACAAATCTCACATTCCAACATGTCTTGATGAAATATGATTCTTGAGACTTGATTTTGATCCAAAAGTCAAGGTTTGACTTTTCAGTATGCAAATGACCATTTTGCCCTTGTGAATGACTTTCTTGGAAAATTGATAATTCAAGGCTTGGAAATAGATGGAAGCAAACCTGGGGTCGAGGGTGATCCTT